ACAAAATGTGTTGAATTGAGTAACCCGGCCCATTTTATGAGTGGGCTGGCGGGCTACGGGCCAGCCCGCCTAAAATAAAAAAAATATAAAAATAAAATACAAAAAAATTAAATTCTGCATAAAATCACATAAAAAAATCTGCATAAAAGCATACAAAAATTTGCATAAAATCCTAATGTGCTTATGAAACCAAGAAGATCAGTGTTTAATAATCTGCATATAAATATGCATCTTTCAATCCAAAAATAATAATAAAAAATAAAATCATATCAGGATAAAATAGAGTAACAAAACAAGTAACAAAGTGTTGTATGAGCAGTCCACAACAATTCAAAAAAGCCACTTGCATGCAGAGAAATCTACGATATGGAGCTACATAACAATTGGGTAATCTAAAAAAAAAAAAAAAAAAAGGACTTGGCGGGCTGACCCATATGGGCTGGCGGGTTTGGCGGGGCGGGTTTGGCGGGCTGGTGGGTTGAAAAACTCAACCCAGCCCGCCCTATTTGGCAGGCGGAGCGGGCTCAGCCCATTTTGCCGGCCCTAGGTGCAACATAGCTAAAGAGAGTCGTAGCACTAAAGATTTGCCCCTTTGTTCCATGTTGATTTGATGGCAAGTTATTTGGTAGTAATTGATAGACCTAGCTATAACATTATGTTTGGAAAAGTCCACATTATCTATATGGAGCGTTTTAAGTGTGTCTCCTTCTAATTATGTTATTTGATGACATGTATGCCACTTGAAGCAACAAAAATTATTCATCACCGTCACCTCCGCTGTCAACCAAAAACACCTCCACAATGCCTCGGTTTTTATTTTATTTTTTTAAAGTTCTATGTCTATCCTTTAAACGCCTGGGAATGCTTATTGCATTCTTATAACTTCAGGGCTGTTTAGATTCTTTTACAGCTATTCCTTTTTCTTTATTTAACTTTTAGGAGTGCTGATATTCTTTTCGTCAGTCACAGGGACGCTTTAGTAACTTAAAATACTTTCTTATTAATTATAACATGCATGACTATCAAAAAGCTATGTTTAAAAGATTATTTTATTTGTATAAAAAAAAAAAAACCTTATTTTCTGTTCTTGCAATGAGAGGCAAGACATCAGTCAAGCGTGCAAACTTGGATTGAGAAAGATGCTATAAAATGCATTGACCTAAGTTGACTTGGAAAATGTAAAACACGCATTTCCCATTGTCATGAATTTGGATATTTAAAGCAGGGGTCCATGAAGCTTTACCAAAGTTGACATGGAAAAAATAAATAACTTACGCAGTATATTTTGAGAAATGTTATATTTATAAATTTTTATAAATTATATTAAGTATGATCGGTCATACTTCAATCAAGAGTGTAGGACTGATCATACTTACTGTAATTTATAAAAAAAAAATTGTAAACGGATTTTTCTCCATATACTTTTAATGTAAAATAATTATTTAAAATGTAAATTTATGTAACTATTTAATAAGAATTATTATTTTTTATTGACTTATCCTGTCCAACTTGTGGAATGGAGGCCCAGGAATCCACTACCACGCCTAAAAATCGCTGTGCAATTGAGTCATACTTTTATTATGGTGTAAAGTTACGAAGCCGTGTATAGTTTTTAAGAAAGTGGGTCAGAATATATATATATATATATATATATATATATATATATATTGAGCAGTTTATATTTACAAACTCTTACAAATTACATTAAGTACGACCGGTCATACTTTAATCATGCAGTGTATGACCAGTCATTCTTAATGTAAATTTATAAAAAAAAATTGTAAACGAATCATATATATATATATATATATATATATATATATATATATATATATATATATACTCTTAGAATATGCCTCATCTTGAACAGCACGTCAGAACACCTTGGCATTTTTATACACCATAGGAAAGTGCTGGGAAAAAAGGGAATGAAAAACCACCTTGCTTATGGAACATTCTCTCTCTCGTCTCTTCAGATCTTGCTCTCTGAATGATGACTATCTATGTCTCCAGCTGAGGGCTATTTATGAGAGAGATATTTTTAGAGAATTATAGATAATTGTACATTATAACTAGAGGTGACAAAGTGAGCGGCCTGCCTCGCCCCGCCCCGTCATCAATCTGTCAAAAAATGAGTCAGTCCGCTCCGCTTTTGAAAGTGGGCTGAAAAACTCAGCCCGCTCCGTCCCATTTAGCGGGTTGGGCGGGTTGGTCCACCAGCCCGAGCCTATTTTACACTGACCCGCCTCGGCCTGTCTATGCCCGCCATCAACCCGTCAAAAAATGAGCCTGCCCCGCTTTTGAGATGGGTAGAAAAACTCAGTCTGTCCTGTCCCGTTTGGCGGGTTGAGAGGGTTGGCCCGCCGAGCCGAGTCCGTTTTGTCGGCTCTAATTATAAGGAATAACGTGAGGTGTATATATAATAACTGTTAAGAGAGAGCATATTGTAAATACATAATAAACTTAGAGGAGGGATATTTTCACTACCAAAATTTTTTACTATCAATTTACTACCTATCTAGTCACCATTAGATTAACATTTTCTCTCTCTTCAAAAACTTTTTAACATTTTCTCTCTTTGATCTATAGTGATGTGATGGGTAGTAAGTTAGTAGTAAGAATTTTTGGTAGTTAGAATATTCTTATTCATCAACTTAATCTCTTATTTATAAATGGTTATTTGGTAGGTGTGAAATTATGGCCTTCTTATGAATATTGGGAGCCCAATATCTAATCCACTAAACATACAGCAAAATTTATGGGTCTGTTTTATTGTGTTTTGATTTTTTTGTTCTTAAAACTGTTTTGTAGAATAATTATAGAAACAGTTGTTTTCTATGTTTTTTTATTTTAAAAGTTAAAAACCAAAACAGAAAATAAAAACAACTCAGACATGTTCTCTAAATTTGATTCTAAAAACAAAAAAACAGTTACAGTTTTTAAAACTTTTTTTACAAAACAGCCTTATCAAACGAATTTTTTTGTTTTTTTGTTCTAAAAATTAAAAAACTATTTTTGAAAACAGTATTCAAACAAAGCCTATATCTTTTAGGCAGGGTTCTTTTCTTATTTCCCTTAGTTGTTATTTATAATGGGCTATTAAGAAGCGGTAACCCATATATTGAGACCATAACAGCTCCAATATTAACTTATTTTTTAAGCATAACTTGCTTATGAGTCATGTCTCTCCTTAAAAACTTTACTTTTACTTTTTAAATTTGAGGAAGAATATTTTTATTACCAAAAAAATTTATTACCAATCCATTACCTATTTAATCACCATTGAATTATAAAAAATGAATGCTGAAAAGTTTTTAAAAAGAGAGAAAATGATGATCCAATAATAATTAGATAAGTAGTAAGTTAGTAATAATTTTTTTAGTAGTAAGAATATTCTCTTTTTTAATTTACCTTAAGTTTTTTGAAAGGTAGATTGTTCTAGTTTGAAAACTCAATTTTTTAATATTATATTATCTATTCTCACTTCAATATTTAATAACTATCTCTTTTTAAATCTCTTCTCTTATCACACTTTAGAGTACTCATAATTTGTTATTTTCTTTCCTCTCTAGCATAACCTAAAAAAAAAAGTTAAATGTACCTTCTCTAACTTAAAGTTTATATACATTTTGATTCTCATATTTTAAAAAGAGAAAAGTTCAAAAAAAAAAATTCTCTGATTTTACTTTGAATAACTTAGGCCTTTATATTTTTTTTAATCACTTACCTCCTATAATATTTTTCATACAAATTTACTTTTAATATGGTCAAAAACTTAACTAATCTACCTATTATTATTTTTCAGTGAAGATATTGTATTTTTTTTATTGTTCGAATAATACAAATACTGAATTCAAAACAACACAAAAGACAGTTCAAATTTTTTTAAATATTTATTATCAATTAAATTAGATTACAAAATCTTATCCACAATGTAAAAAGAGAAAAATATGAATAACTCTTACCTTTTCATTATCTGAATATTATTTTTTCCAAAAACAATAAACAATATAAAAGTTATAATGAAATTTTTTGTGTTAGTCTATTTATTAATATTTATAAATTTTTAATTTTATATATAGATTATCAAACAGTTAATAACATAAAGTTATTATCTTGCAACTTAGTCCCTTGTCCTGTACAATTTTGTTTGTACTGTATCTCTATATCTATCAAAACCAACCTAAAAGATAAAAAACAGAGGAAAATGATAGGAAGTTGCTCTTTCTATTTCCTTTTTTTTTTGTGGATTTATTTTTTTGGGTTGATTTTTTCCTTAATAGCGAAAATTAGTCTGAACTCATTAATGGGAAGCTAGGAAGCAGCTAGGTTCGCTTTGACCAAGAAAATTATATTTGGAAGATGTATGGAGAAATTGAGTATTCAAACGCACCTATCTATTATTAACTATTCCATTTAAAAAAATAATAAAATTTGAATTTTAAATTCACAATGACCCATTAAAATGGTTCGTTTAATGGACTAACGTTGCATCAGCTGTCCTTCATATTGACTCTTCCGCGGCACCACTGAGATGGCAGTCCTCCTTCTTGGTCAACGAAGAAATTATAAGGCAATTAACAATTTCACTCAGGGATTACTTCCCTATTCAATTTTATTTTATGGTTACTATGAAATTATAATAAATTATTAAATCATCAAATTACTTAATCAAATAATAATTTGAGGATGGTTATATTGATAATTTTTTTTTTAACAAATTACACTATATATTTTATGGACGAAACTTGTCTAAACATATCTTATGAATAAAATATAATATAATTTGTAAAAATTTATAAATATAACCTATCGCTAATAATTTTGGCTATAAAATTAATTAGTAAGTTTGTAGTTTCAAGGAGACACAGACAGTGAGCGCATATTAGTAGCAATGACAGAAATTTTAGCAGCCAATTTCTTCATCCTTGCCAATATATAGAAGCTCATTCATATCTTAAGCTTCTATCATCCGATTATTACTTGTTATTCCCAGAGGACAACAAAAATGGCAGTTCTTTCTTTAAGGTTACTTTCCTTTCTCTGTTGTCTCATTGTCATAATCATTTTCATATCTCAAGCCAGCGCTGATGAAAGTTCACAAATATACCAATACTTCTGTGGTTTTAATAACAAGGGTAACTACACGGCCAATAGCACCTATCACACGAACCTCAACACCCTTTTGTCCAATCTCACTCCCAACACAGAAATTGACTACGGTTTCTACAATTTGTCATATGGACAAAACAATGACAAAGTAAACGCTATTGGGTTGTGCAGAGGAGATATTAAGTCAGATGCTTGCCGAGGTTGTCTCAAAGATTCCATAGCCAATCTGACACAGCTCTGTCCAAACCAGAAGGAAGCAATTGGTTGGTATGAGGATGAGAAATGCATGTTGCGTTACTCAGACCGCTCAATATTTGACACCATGGAAACTGGACCTGCGTATTTTGTGTGGAACTTACAGAATGCAACAGAGGTGGACCAGTTCAATAAGGTGCTCAAGAACTTGCTCGAAAGCCTAAGAAGCAAAGCTACATCAGGTGACTCTCGTCGTAAATATGCTACGGATAACGCAGCTGCCTCAAATAATCAAATCATATATGGTCTTGCTCAATGCACGCCTGATTTGTCTGCTTTACAGTGTGATAACTGCTTGGTCCAGTCTATCGCAGAATTCCCAAATTGTTGTAATAACAGGATAGGTGCCAGAGTTATTAGACCCAGTTGTAGTTTGAGATACGAAATATCTCGCTTCTATGAGTTGACACCAGATACACCGTCACCATCACCGTCACCGCTTCCATCGCTGCCACCTCCTCCGTCCACTTCTAAAACTTCCGTGCAAGGTACTTGTCACACTATGCTCACTTTCTTATATCGAAATAATTGCAACTGAACCTTGTAATTTTGACCATGATACACTTTTCACATCCATTAACGAAATTTCATCGATTTTAAGGTGGTCTTTTTCTCTCGGTTTTATTATCGTTAGCTAGTGTTTGGTTGAAGGTTTATTTTGAGATTGAGAGGAAAGTGTAGGTGGATATTGGAAAATATCACGTTTGGTTCAAGTTTTTAAAAAAATACTAGGGAAATAGGATAGATGGGAAAATGACTTTTGTATTGATTTTTGAATGAAATTTACTGTTACAGAATACTACTTGAGATGTGATATTTTGAGATAATTGGAGAAGTAAAAAACAGGTGCAAAGTTTCTCACGAACATAAATTTTGCATATTTAAATAAATTTTCCTGATAATATTTCGGTCAACCAAACAACTTTTTTACATTTTCCTACTAAACTCAATTTCCAACTATTTTTCTATCAATTATCTTAATCTTTAAAATTCTCACCGAAGATTAATTCTGGGTTTTGCAGATAAGGACGACACGTCAAGACCTACAGTCGCTATTGTCCAGTTGCTGCTGTTGTTATTGTGCTCATTTTTATCTGTGTCTATTTAAGAATGAGGAAATATATTTTGAAAATAATTCTAACAAGCACAGCTGCATCATCAGGAGAATCATCTCGTAGACACGCTGCAGCATGTGCAAGTTGAGTCAGTTGTAATTTTATTTTATTTTTTAAGAATCCGAATTTTCCTGCTTATATTAACTGCACTGTGCTGGTAATTTTACTTTTAGGATGCTGTGAAAAACCTAATTTTACACTTTTGAAAGAAGATCATAAACTCAAGTATAGAATTTAATAAATTAAAAGAAAATTTGACGGATGTCAACTCGGCGGGAATATGGATATATTCATGTATAAAAGTGTTCCATCTCTTCTATTAACTAAAATAATCTCCTCAAACTCCAAAACATTAAATATCATCCTAAAATTGGGAGAAAATAAAAATACACGCCATATTTCACAATCGATGTGTCAATTCAAACCAAATGATGATCACTCTTTAATAGGTGGTTGGAGTGCCGATAACACACAAATCTATTTGTTCGTATTAATTTTTTTATAATATTTAATTAATTATTAATCATTTGATTATAGAAATTTTCGTATAGTATAAAACATTAATTCAATTCAAAAAAATTTAAGCGGTTATGTGAAGATTATATTCATAATGTGATCTCCGACTCCAAATAATTAATTTTCAACTACTGACCGGAGGATATTTTAAAAAAAAAAAAAAAAAAAAGATATCAGATAATAAAGCACGTTAATTTTCTATAATGACACACTCAGAAGTCAGAAAAATGTTCAGAAAGTTGAAATGCGTTAGTGGGTGAATCCCGGCAATCAAAGTACTCAATTCGATTAATACACATGTATGTATTCCGGTATTTTTATTTCTTTATTTTTTTTGGGTAAAAATTCCGGAACAGGGATTATTATGTCACGTTTGGACAAAAAAATTACCAGACTGCCACGCCAACAGTAAATTTTGCCAAAATATCACGCGGCATAATTCGCTACACAGTGTAGCGAATTATGCATGCAAGTAATTCGATACACTGTAGCGAAATATGCCACGTCAGAACCAAAAATGCCACATGTCAAATTTTGAGAAATTCGCTACCCTATGTAGCGAATTTCGCAAAATTTGACATGTGGCATTTTTGGTTCTGTGCATTCTGACGTGGCATATTTCGCTACACTGTGTAGCGAATTACTTGCATGCATAATTCGCTACACTGTGTAGCGAATTATGCCGTGGCATTTTGGCAAAATTTACTGTTGGCGTGACAGTCTGATAATTTTTTTGTCCAAGCGTGACACTTTGGTCACTGTCCCAAAAATTCCGGTAATTAATTGTAATAGGAATCTTAGTATTTTACGATGAGCAATTTTTTTTTAAAATGAATAGAATTATTAAATTTAGTAATTTAGCGTGTTACGATCTGATAGATCGATATGTCCAATCAGAGATTGGTATGTTAATATAGGATATATTTGCCCTCCCTCAGGTACCTATAGGGAAGGTACCCTAGAGATCAGCGGATCACTGTGCACAATAATATATACGACATAGTCAAGGCGTGAGGTGTGTGCACAGTGACAAGCTAAGAGAGGGTTTAGAGTCTGTGTACCTTATTGGTTTAACCCCTTATTTATAGATGGGTTACTTGGCAGGAGTGGACTTTTGGGCCTCTCAGGAGCATTGGGGGTCTAATTGTTGATGCATTGCTGTCGTGGTAGGATTAGCATAATTAAGGAATGTTTCCTTAATTTCCTCTTAGGTGTTAGCCTTATTTGGGCCTTCTAGAATGTAGATCTTTGTCAGGTCCATAACATAGCGTAATAAAAATATATTTATATTACAAAGAGTTGTTCAATTTAGTAATTTAGCGTAATAAAAATATAATTTATATTACAAATAGTTGTTCAAGTCTTATAAAATTTGTATAATATATAAAATAATACTTCAGTTGACGTGGAATATGGTTGTTAATGTTATCATCGTCAATGGATGTTTGGTAGAGGAAATATATTTTTAGCAGGTAAATGCAATTATCAGAAATATGATAGGAAAATTAGTTTGGTAGGTGTAACATCTCTGTCTTGAGCTGGTTCAATTAACATATATATGATACTAAACAGAAACAGCGGAAGACTTAACTTACGAAAATACGAGCTAACCTTTTTTTTTCTTTAATCTTTTTTCACATGATATATCACATTGCATACTTCTTCTAGTTTAATTCTTATTTGACGGAGACGAAAATCGGACAGAGTGACATCAGTAAATCGGACAAACGGAGATTTGCAAATCTCACTCTCAAGGTATCCTGATAAACATTTTATATAACATATGATTTCGGAAATACCAAATATCCGTATAGAACCATATACTCATCCATGGGCGCATGAACAACTTGGCTCTGTGCCACTATGTCTAACAGCATGCATATCCAACATGTAACCATATAACTGAATACTACATCATAATATAAGCATGCCTGAATACACAATTGTACATGCATCAAAGCGGAAAACATGTACAAAACATATACAGACCATATACAAAGTAACGGATCAAACATCATGATTCACCAAAATAAATGGAATACTAATGCAAATCACAATCCTCGAAAATAATGGTAGCAGACTGCTACCCAAAAATCCAATCCGCGATACACTTTATCCACAGGTCGTATCCCTGCCCCGTGTAGGCTCACCGGCAATCTGTGCACCTGAAATGATGTCCCAAATAGGGTGAGACAACAAATCTCAATAAGCTCCAAGTTTATAGAGAATTCTCTATACCCCTGGGCCCACTCCTGCATGAAAGTCATATACAGAGTATACAAAACATCATATAATAGATATCATAACAGAACAAAGCATAAGGGAGGACCTCAAGCGGAAATCAATGCACGTGTTCCCAAGGGAGGACCCCAAGCAAAACTAGAACATATCAGAGGTGTACACAGTCAGTCCCGAGGGAGGACCCCAAACAGACATCAGTGCACAAACAATCAATGGCTAAAGATCAATACATAAATCACATCCGAACAAATCATATCATGTTATTAAATAGCTCTATATGAATGCATCTATACAAAGTATCAAATGCAATCATACAATCCAACCATAGTTCACTAACCATGGTGGAGCACTCAAGTAGGAAAAGACTCCTTAAACATAGAGCTTATCTCTTGAAGCTTTACCAATTTGCTCACTCGTAACACAAGTTACTTATTTAGTTCCAAAGGAATTCAAAGTCTCTCAGTCCCTAGGCACACCTAGAGAAAGAATCCAAAACAAAACTCAATAAAATGTTACAATGCCATGTAATTACAAGACATACACTTTATTGATTTACTTTCATTTTTTTACATTTATGCCAATCATATGCCAATTCACAAGTCAATACCACAATCTTTAAACTCTTTTATTAGACCATTTAATGATAATTACTCACATAACAAGCAACCACCTTGGTTCATATTTACCTAGGGTCTTTGAAGGACCCAACAAAGCTTCTAAAATATCTTTTACAATTTTTAACAATTCCTAGCCCCAAAATCATACAATGGCTAAAAGCCAATAACAAAGGAAACTAGTGATTTTCATCAATTCTTTTTACACAACCATTGGTTCCTAGAACCCATACTTGACCCCTAGTTACTCATATATTCATATAACAATTTAAGCCTAGACTTGCCTATTTTTCCTTCACAATGCCGATGAAACACATACAAAGGAACCAATATGTCTCTCATTATTTCTTAAATCATTTTACTTCAAAATCATACTAAAGCCATGCATTAGAACCTAAACACATCACCAAAATAATTTTTAATATAATCAACCCCCACATAACCTTATAGGCCGAATTCAAAGGGAAGGGTTTTCCAAAGGATTATTTCTTATACTTTCAATTTAATCACTCAATTCACACTTCCAAATACATACAATCCTCCACAAACCAAGTAATTAAATTTTTGCAAATACACCCCTTCCATCACTACATGGCCAAATTCTAGGGAGGAAGATCCAAGGAAATTTTTCAACATTCCAACTCATAATCATGCTTATTTAACACTATAACATCATAAACCATACTAACTCATCTTCAATTTCAAATTTCCAACTTCAATATTTTTCATAACATATGCTCACAATATTCAAAACTTAGATCGTGACATTAAAACCATTAGAATGAGGATCTCTTACCTCAAATCACCTATATAAGGCTTGGAGAACAAAACCCAAGCTTTGTTCCACCAAAAATCCATTTCTCTCTTAAGGATTAATAGTGACCAAAATCTTGAGGAGGAGAGAGCTCTTCACACAAGCATTTTCAGCCCAAACAAATAGGTGGAATGGATTCACCACGATTTCTACTTAAAGTTTCATGTATAACACTTTGTATTTTGGTGATTGTTTGAGTGAGAAATCAAGGAAAGAAAAGCTTGACCCAAACCCCCTTCCATGGAGGAGTCGATCAGCAAAGAGAGAAGATGGAGTTCTGAAATGAATAGTGACACGAGGAAAAGAAACTTTTTAAGTTATAATGATGGGGTTTGCATTTGTCATTTAACATAACACAACAAAGTTTCCTACACACACAATATTTTGTGGGGCACGCACTTTTTGAAGAAAAAAGAAAACTACGGCACACAAAACGAATCTCTATAACATTACACAATCACTTTTCCTACAACATAACTCTTATAAAACCCTATAATGATATGTTATCTTTTACCGGTTATTTTTTCTCTCACTTAATTTCACTTAAATTGACACGGCACTAACTTAAAGCTACAGACATATTTTTATTTTTCTGAACTCATTTACTTTAACTTTTATTTCCCAAATATTTTTTTCTGGACTCTACCGGTTGCTTAAGCAGTGGTACAAAATACCTAGCAGAAAACACTATTAATGAGATTTTCAAGGAAAATGTCAGATTATACAATTTTTCGTTCTGAACTCATATTTGGTATCAGAATTTCCAAATTAGGTCGCTAAACTCATTTTGTTCATTTTAAGCTCCACCGATTGCTACACACTAATGCAGAATATCTAATAGAAAGCATTGTTCATGACCTAGTAATGATTACAGTCAAAATACTTGAAATCACGCTCTGAATCTAATTATGGCATTTAAATTCTTAAATTAAATCTCTAATTAAGATTTACCTAATAGGGTCATTACAGTAGGAAAGTTAAAAAAGAAAATTATTTGGTTGGCGAAAATTTTACTAGAAAAATTGATTTAAATTTAGTCAAAAGAGGTAGTAATGTCACAATTTTCATCGACGTTTTCCCACTTGCCCGGTTATATGCAAATACCACATTGAGATTGGACAATTTCAACAATGTGTTTGTTCTATTTTTGCATTTGATTCTGAATTGATGGGCAAATGACTTTAGTGGGTAAATTTTTATATCTCTTCTACTAAACAAAAACATCATTGATTGCCAACTCATATGCATGGAGATCTCAAAAAAAAAAAAACTTGAACCAAACACTACCCAATTGTATGCAGGCAATCAACTTACATCCCAAGGATCTGAAAGAGTCTCAGTCGCACAATATTTTAGTGAGATTTTAATTGCTATTTGTAACGAGATCGTAAAAAGGACAAAGAAAGGAGGAAGGTCGATTGGAATTGGTTCGAGAGATAGATTGGTGTTCCGCAGCCCAGTCTTGATTAGGATTTGATTATCTCAATGTATCAATCATTTTTTTTCTTAAATCAACTTGTCCTAATTTATGCCCAACTTTTTTTTAGATATTTTACCTTTTCTGAAAAAAAATTATAATTATCATATATTCTTTAAACATGTTTTTAATTAATTTTTTTCTTGAAAGAAAACAAGAAAATAAATTCTTAATTTAATGAGTTATAATCACTTAAAGAGTTGATAGATAGGAATAATTGACTAATCATTTATTAAACTTATTTAAATAATAATACTAAAATATATAATCAATAAATTTAAAGAATCTCACAAGATATTTGTTATTTTAGAAATTGATTAATTACGTCTAATATAAATAAATAATTTTTTTTTAGTTGTCTAAGGTTTTCTCCAACATACAACTGAAAATTAATACTTTCGAAACGGAAGATCACATGAAAATAAAATTATTTTGACAACTTACTAAAATCACTTATATAAAAAAGAATTTTACTATTAGAAATATATAAAATATTAATAGATCTTAACTTAACTATTTAAATTTTAGAGCCAAATTTGGTATTAGAGTCTCTGACTTTATGACCAAATATATTATTCATCCTTCAAATCTAATAAATTTTTATCAATAGACGTGTTAGAGCTAAATACATAAAATCATTAATTGTCCATCCTTAAGTTTTTCGAATTGAAATTGCTTCTTTATATTATAAACAAAATATTTGAGTAATTTTCTCTGCCTAAAATTCAAGTTAGCCGGCAAATGAGAAAACCGAAGCCAGTTGTCATTGATTTGGACATTCGAAATTGTATAGACGTGTTTGAACCAACTGCAATAATGGAAAGAGATCATTTGTGCAAACAGGAGTCTAAATACTAAATAACTCGTTTGGTCAATGCCCGCCCAATACCCTCCACAATAATAAAAAAAAAAAATATTTTATATCTCATTATTACAAATGATTGCATAAAAAATATACGCAACCGAAAAGTATTATAATAAATTTTGTTATTTTATTATGAATATTATCATTTTTTGTCCTATATTATAAATTTCAAACAATTAATAATATCAATTTATTTTATAACAAAACTACTTGTATTAGAATATTTGTCTGGTGCCCCTAACAATATATATATATATATATATATATATATATATATATATATATATATATATATATATATCTCGCAACTTACGAAGAGATAATATTATATATAAGTGAAGATGAATGTAAAATTTATTATTCTAATTTTATTATAGGAACAATATGCGCCAATTTAAATTCTAAAAATAGTAAGACCCGCTAAAACAAGAAACTAGTCTTTCATAACTCGATTATTTATTTGATCAGCATCTTTATAGACTCTTCCATGGCTCGCTTGAAATGCAGTCTCTCTTTCATGGTCAACGAAGAAATTATAAGATAATTCAATTTTTTTTTCTGCGTACGATTGTTACGAACGTTCACATGACCGCTCAAAAATTGAGAAGGTTAAAAGATCTCACTCACTTATCAGTATTCAGTATAATATTTTTTTGAGAGATATTATTACATCTTGTTATGAAGTTTAAGGTCATCACTCAAAAGCTAGCTCAAATAGTGAGAGTGTTCAAAGTTTTATAAATTTCATATTAGTTGTATAAGTAACTAACATGAGACTTGTAACAATCATCAATTGATAATAATTATTAAATTATCTAAAAACATAATTAAGTAATAATTTTGGTTATAAAATCAAGAGGTCATAGTTACTATTATTTTTTCTTACTATCTCTTAGTACAAATCTTAACAATTGATTTCCGTTAATCTAACAGTTGTAATCTATTGAGAATTAATAATTAATTAATAAATATGATTCAATAAATTACAACCGTTAAATTAATGAAAATTGACAGTTAAGATTTAGTAATAAGAGATGGTAAAAAAAAAAATAGTAACTGTACTGACCCACAACATCAATTAGTAAAGAATTTCTATTCAAAGACAGGAACCGCGTTTGTTAAAAAAAAAAAAAAAAAAAAAAAGACAGTAACCGCACAATAGCTGCAATGGTTTATATCTGAAAAGCTTCAATCTTCCGTTTATTACTTGTTATTCCCAGAGGACAACCAATATGGCAGTTTTTTCTTCAAGGCTACTTAGTCTTTCCTTTCTCTGTTGTGTCGTCCTTATAATCATTTTCATATCTCAAGCCAGCGCTGACAATAATACACAAAACTACCACTACTTTTGTGATTTTAATAACAGATCAGGTAACTACGCAGCCAACAGCACCTATCACACGAACCTCAACACCCTTTTGTCCACTCTCACTTCCAACACAGAAATTGACTATGGTTTCTACAACTTGTCATATGGCCAAAACACTGACAGAGTAAACGCTATTGGGTTGTGCAGAGGAGATATTAAGCCAGATGCTTGCCGAAGTTGCCTTAGTGGTTCAAGAGCCAATCTGACACAGCTGTGTCCAAACCAGAAGGAGGCAATTGGGTGGTATGAGGATGAGAAATGCATGTTGCGTTACTCAGACCGCTCAATATTTGACACCATGGAAACTGGACCTGCTTATTATGCCAACAACATGCTAAATGCAACGAATTTGGATGAGTTCAATCAAGTGTTGAATACCTTGCTCGGAAGCCTAAGAAGCAAAGCTGCATCAGGTGACTCTCGTCTTAAGTATGCCGCGGATAAATCAAGTGACCGAAACTTTCAAACCATATATGGTCTTGTGCAGTGCACGCCCGATTTGTCTGCTTCACAGTGTGATGATTGCTTGGTTCAGTCCATTGCACGTATCCCAATAGATTGTTGTAAAGACAGGATAGGTGGAAGAGTTGTTAGACCTAGTTGTAATATGAGGTTCGAAACCTCCTTCCTTTTCTATGATCCTACACCATCAACCACCACCACTAACACTTCATCTTCCTCTGGAGGTACTTTTCGCAATTATCTTAATCGCCAATAGTTGAAAAAAAATTACTTCTGAACCCTGAAATTGACTTCATGATCCACTTTTTACTTCTTTTGCTGAACTTTGAACGATTTCTTCTTCGTTAGGTTTTGTTTTCCTTATTTATCTGATGAAGGAGAAAAAAATTAAATTTTGTGCTTAAAATCGTGTTTAAGATTGTCTTCTCTAGGTAATTAGTTATTTGACTTAATGATATTTTATTATCTTAATCGATGGAATGTCCAACCGAGGATTCTGATTTGTGCAGGAAAGAGCAACACAACTGTCATCGCCATAACAGTACCAATTGCTGTTGTTGTTGTGGTGCTCATTTTTATCTGTATCTATTTTAGAGCGAGGAAGCCAACGAAGAAGTATAAAAGTAAGTCCAAGTACTGATTCACTTTGACTTGTTTTCTATTTCGCTGCAATGAAATTAAAAGAAGAGAATATCTGCCTAACATAAACGAAATTATTCTAAATAGCTATATAATATATCTTGATTAGTTAATTTAGAGTAATTCTTTCTATTATACAATGCGAGATAAACAATCGAAAATAAAATAATTTCAATAATTCAAAGCATGCTTTACTCAATTACTACTAGCAATAACCGAATAAGGAAAAAGAACAGAGGAAGTCAAGAAACTATATCTAACAGTAATAGTTTTAAACTGCACCGAATGACTTAATTAGCATAGTGGGAAAAAGGCCTTTTGTTGTAAGTATTGCTCTCGTATCACATGTGAAAAACTCACTAGTTTAACCCCGTTTCCAATGTGAAGCTCAAGAAAGAGAAGAAGATGATGAAGATGATGATGATATTGAAATTTCTGAGTCATTGCAATTCAACTTTAACACCATTCGAGATGCTACGAATGACTTTTCTGATTCTAATAAACTCGGACAAGGCGGATTTGGGGCTGTTTACAGGGTAAGATAACACTTTAAATATCACTTCTTCATAAAAAATGTGGTATACTCAAGTTACTTGATGAGAATTTACTATTCTTGACTGTGATACATTTTCAGGGTAGTCTCTCCGATGGACAAGAAATTGCTGTCAAAAGGTTGTCCAAGGATTCTGGCCAAGGAGATCTAGAATTCAAGAATGAAGTGCTTTTAGTGGCTAAGCTCCAACATCGAAATTTAGTAAGACTACTTGGTTTCTGTCTGGAAGGAAAAGAAAGGCTACTTGTCTATGAATTTGTTCCTAATAAAAGCCTTGATTACTTCATATTTGGTACGTTTGAATGTCTTTTTAATTGGACTATACCTCTATTACTTCTATTGTGGCTTAAGACTATGCTTAATTACATAGTATTAATATTCAAATGGCTTGTGTGTATATGTAGATCAAACCAAGAGAGCACAATTAAATTGGGAGAGCCGCTACAAAATCATTGCTGGTATTGCTCGAGGCATTCTTTACCTTCATGAGGATTCTCGACTGCGCATTATCCATCGTGATCTCAAAGCAAGTAACATTCTCTTAGATGGAGAGATGAGTCCCAAGATATCCGATTTTGGCATGGCAAGACTGTTTATTGTGGACCAAACTCATGGAGATACAAATAGAATTGTTGGAACCTAGTAAGTATTCGAATGTACCAAAGCTTATTAATTGTTATTATTATCATTGGGCTTAGAAACTAAAAACTGGAGATGGTTGAGAAAATATTTTGCTTAATCAAGCTTGTCAATGTTGTTATGTAGTGGATATATGGCACCTGAGTATGCAATGCATGGACAGTTTTCAGTGAAGTCAGATGTCTTTAGTTTTGGTGTACTGGTTCTTGAGATTGTGAGTGGCCAGAAAAATTGCAGCATTGGTCAAGGGGAGAATATAGAGGATCTACTGAGCCTTGTACGTCATCCTTTTCTTCCCATTATATATTCCTTGAAGTTAGAAGAAAGTAAGAAATTAGAAGATTATGTGTTAGCCTATGTTACTGTAGAAGTGGAATCTAACTTATATTGAGAAAATTCTTGCAGGCATGGAGAAATTGGAGGGACGGATCAGCCACAAATATTATAGATCCCATGTTAAACAATGATTCACGAAATGAAATAATGAGATGCATCCACATTGGGTTACTTTGTGTTCAAGAAAATGTAGCTAGCAGACCAACCATGGCTTCCGTTGTACTGATGCTTAATAGTTATTCTGTCACTCTGTCGCTACCTTCAGAACCTGCATTTTATGTGGATAGTAGAACTGGAAACCTTCCAGACATGTCATGGGAGTATAATTCAGGGGCAACAAGATCAAGCGAATCCACAACTAAATCAGCTCAAGCATCGGTCGACGAGGCTCCAATTACTGAGCTACATACTCGCTAGTTTTTTTTTTTTTTTTAATCATAGTGATGATATTCATAAACAACGTGGATTTAGAGTAAACAATACCATCTTGGTAGGGCAATGGAGTTGAGTGGGTGGGGAAGGATCTCGGTTCGATTCCCACCAATACTATTTTGGGAAGGTTATAAAATCTTAATCCTCGACTTGTCCAGTATTTGAGACTAATTTCATAGCAGGCTCAAAGAATCAAAACTTGTGTGGAAATCCAAGAGAGCACACTCGTCTCAAAGAGGTAATTAAGGTTGGTCTCAAAGAGGTAATTAAGGTTGGAATAAAAAGAAAGAAAACAAATTCAATTCTTCAACGAAAATACAAAGTCTTGGAACACGTGTAAGTTCTTGTCTGAATAAACCATGTATGCTTTTGTTTAACTGACACAGAAACCTGTAATGTGACCTTCAGTTTATGAAATGCATGATATGACTATTTTGCTAGTAGCACAGCTAGGCCTACAATAATTCTCAGGGGAAATCTATAGCTTGAAGGACAAGTACGATTGATCTCCCTCAATCGTCTGCACCTCCATTTTCGGTAGGCATATATTTTGCATCTGAACAAGATATAGAATCTCTGCCATCTTCCGTAAGTGCTTCCTCAATCGGGGACTATAACATTGATATAATCAATTTTTAATACTAAATTTCCAATTTCCTTCGTTATTTGTTATAATTTGTCACAGCTTATGGTGATAAAATAGAGCTTTGTTTCTTATGTATTTTATCTTCTTTCGCATTGTCCGAGTAGAGAGAAAATTAGCAAGCGACAGTAACTTACATAATGCATGTACGCAATCATTTAAAAATAATCTCAGTAACTTGTTATGGCAATTTCATACAACTCAAGCATCTAACTCTCAATCGCATCCCATATATTGGGTTAGAATATTCAAGTGTGATGAGTCCCACATTGGTTGATAATGAGCTAAGTGAAGAGTATATAAGTGGAAGGAACCCATGAACCAATTGCCTTAAGATTTTGGGTTGAGACATGGTGTCGGATCCACTTGCTACGGTTGGTGTAGCCTTAGCTCATTGGTGGTGGCCCCCGTCACGGGCTTCCTCTGAACCCGCTTGACATTGGAGTTTGAGGGAACGAATTTCCCAACATATTGGTCTCATGATTGTTCAACTATCTTCGGACGATTTTTAGAATGATGATTTCCCTTGTTTTTCATGAATTTTTTTTTTACCAGTAATAGAATTTTGAACGAGACCGATGGCTTTACAACATCATTTCCATCATCACACTCATCATCACTGCTTTCAATTTCGTCATCCCCGTTGTCATCATCAGCACTACTTTCATCTGAATCTGTTTCACTACCATCAGCAGCCAATGAAATCAGAGGCTAACAAGTGGAAATAGTAGATTCAGCAGCAGCCACAGCCTCAGGTGTATAAAGATCAGCAACACCAAACATCAAATCCTGCAAATTAATGAAACCAAAAATAAATAATTTAATCCACTATTTACAAATAACTCTGACTACGTGTGCTTGTATGCATAGTGTTCGGTTCTCAAGTGGGAGATCATATCCTGTACATCTGTCATTCAACAAGTGACACTTAGATAAAAAAATATTTTTCTCTCCTTTTCATACAAGCATGACAATCATTCTTCATTTTTTATTGGATAGATTCACTGAGTGAATAGTACAACAGTAGTACCATAGATATTTCCCTCAAGTGGATAAGTATTGTAAACCAAGAACTCATGCGCAAGTGTACAGGGTCACAAGCAATATATGATGAGTAAGGGGATAACATTTTCATAGGGATATATGATTTGCAGAAATGTAATTGATAAGTGTCAAAGACACTATGTTTCTAAAATCAAAAATAAATTAAATAATTATGAATATGATCAAGAACATAGTGATAATTAATGAATGCAAAAGATTATAAGGTTTTAATGTTTGGACATGATATTGACTTAAAAACATATTAGTTTCAAGTTTAAATTGGAGAATTGGAGCAATGGTTAAGTTAGAAGAAGTAAAATGATAAGGGAAGAACAATGATTTAGTAAAAATCTCCCAGCATATGTCTTTCGGACAATTTTTAGTATCTAATTTGATGGATTTTGATCTCGTGTTTTCAAATAAAGACAATAAATTTATTTCAAAATAATTAAAAAAATACAATCAATTTCATAAGTTTTATCCAATTTTCAAAATGTGTATTATATTTATTATACGAGAAAACATATTTCAATTAAAAATCTTTATACATACCTTTTTGTTTCCTTTTCCTATAACTAACGGTTAGAGATAGAAAAACGGGCTCAGCCCGCTGAGTTGGCTCACCCCATCCGCCAAACGAGATAGGACGGACTGAATTTGATAACTCGCCAGCCCGCTTTTTTTTTTTACACCTAACCTAATTGGACAATTGATACTAAGATGCATTTGACTCACCATATTGTCTTTATCAACCCCGAAAGCTAGCCCATTAGATTCTCAGCATTTCCAGCAATTTGTAATATAATCATTAATATATTTTGCAATATTCAATTTGAGATGTTTATACCAAAACTTGACTTCAACCGCGGTTTTTTAGTTGTTTTCCAGTTGTAATGTCTATGCAATTTTCGCGTACCGATCAATCTATCTACAACTACTATATAATGATTGTCAAAACATCCTAACATTGTCCTTTTTTTGTTGGTCTCTTTTGCACCTTGCTTTTCTTTCTCTTTTTTTTGTATACCACTGAAAATAAAAACCAACTACACGCCTCTAACTAAACGAGGCCAAGCAATACCAGTATAATCACTATACAGTAAACTAAAACATCCTTCAGGGGGATCGTCTAGAACAACCGTTCCCCAACCTAGGTTCAGAGCCATATTTGCTAAGAAGTCTGCCACCTTGTTTCCCTCTCTAAAGATATGAGAGATTACCACTTGCCAATCTTTGTGCAACATATCATCTATCTTGCTAACCAGACCCCTCAAAGGGTGGGAATCAACCACTCCATCCTTTATCATCTTGATCATTACCTGGGAGTCTCCCTCCAACACAACTCTTCTGCATCCTAGATTCCAGGCAGTTTGTAATCCAATATAAGCTCCCCATAATTCTGCTTTCACAGGACTACAAGAACCCAGGTTCCTGGCATATCCTTTCAACCACCTTCTAGTTTCATCCCTTAGAGCACCACCACAGCCACCTAGCAAGCTGTCAATCTTGGCTGATCCATCAGAATTCAATTTCACCCAACCAGGAGGAGGGGGTTTCCATTGCACCAGAACTTCATCTTTAACATTATACATCAGTCTAGCTTTGCAGTAAACTGACCTTGCTTCATCAAAACTCGATAGATAGGTGCAAGCCAGCCTTATGGTCTTTTCCACACAGAGAGGTTTATTCTAAAAAATAAAACAATTCCTTCCTTTCCATATGAACCAGCATAGAAGACCGAACATGATGTTACCTCTGTTCCCACACAGCATACAATGATCTTTATCCAGATTTATACTTAACCAAGTTTCCAAAGGATAAGATATAAATTCTGGCCACTTATCTGGCTTAATGAAAAATTTCCATACCTTTCTAGACCAGTCACAGTCTCTCGTCACATGGAGGCAGCATTCAGGAGCTCCCTGACATTTAGGACAGCCACTCGAATCAGCAAGGTGCCTTTGGACTCTCCTCTGGTTTGTGAGGAGGTTCTCCCCCAACAGCAGCCATAAGAAGTTCTTCACCCTGGGGGGACCATCCCAGTCCCACACTTTATCCCAATGCAGGTTCAGACCCACATCATCATTCTGATATAGAAATTTCTAAGCTGTCTTTATTGAGAAACTCCCATCTTGCGAATTATCCCAAATCACTCTATCATCATCCTCATCAGGACTAGGAGGGCAGCAATCAGCAATGGCTCTCAAGGCTTCCTGAGTTAGGATATCCCTCAACTCCTGCCATTTCCAATCTCCTCTATAGTCTACCATGTAGGCTACATCAGCATCAGAGAATTCTGCAGGGATCTCCTGAATGATGTGATTTTCCAGTGGCCCAAGCCTAAGCCATTTGTCCCTCCAAAAAGAAGTACCTTTCCCATTCCCCACCAATATCCTTGATCCCTCACAAATCATAGGCCAAACTCTGTTCAGCCCCAACCAGAGATTGGAGCACATAGCCTTCTGCTTAATGGTGGGAATGATCTCATTCCCTACTTTGTATTTGTTCCTAGTCACCTGCACCCATAAGTCATTCCTGTGAGTCAGAATTCCATGTCCTATTTTCATCAAATTGGCTTTGTTAGTCATCCTCAGGCTCCTAATGCCTAGTCCACCAAAATTCTTTTCCCTACACACCACACTCCAAGAGGTAGCATGGAGTTTTCTCTTACCTTGAGAAGAACCCCAAACAAATCCCCTCATCTTCTGCTCCACAGCCTCACAAGTACTCATAGGTAACAAGGCTGTCTGCATAGTATAATTAGGGAGGGCTGCCAACACTGATTTAACCAACACCACCCTACCAGCCATAGTCAGGGATTTCTCCTTCCAAGCATTTAATCTTTTATTGGTCTTCTCAAGGATATACTCGAAAGTTTTCTTGCTAACCCTCTTGTGTAACACAGGCACCCCTAGGTACTTGCCAAGGTCAGCAGTTATAGAGAAATTAAGGATCTTACTCAACTCTTCTCTTCTTGTATGGTTCACATTCTTGGAGAAGAAACATCTTGTTTTTTCATAGCTAAGTTTCTGACCCGAGACCATGCAGAAGTGATCCAGAATGTTGGAGATAAGGATTGCTTGATCCACACTAGCTTCAGCAAATATAAGTAGATCATCTGCAAAAAATAGATGGGATAAAGGAGGTTCATTTCTACCCAGGTTCACTGGATTCCATTCTTTACTTTCCACAGCCGTGTTAATCAAGTGCCCCAACCTCTCCATGCACAACACAAATAGATAAGGAGATAGAGGATCTCCTTGTCTAATCCCTCTTGAAGGCTTAAACTCTTCAGTTCTAGAACCATTCCACAGAATGTCCATTGAAGTTGATGTCACACACTCCATAATCAGGTCCACCACTGAAGTAGCCAACCCTGTTAAGAGAAGGGTTTCTCTCAAGAACTCCCAGTTTACCCTATCATAGGCTTTTTCCAGATCTACCTTGATTGCAACCCATCCCTTTTTACCCTTCTTCACCCTCATGGAGTGAAAAATTTCTTGGCTAATAATGATGTTGTTTGAAGCATGCCTTCCTTTCACAAAGCTGCATTGGTTAGGCATTACAAGGGAACTCATATGGTTTCTCAATCTTGAAGCTAACACCTTTGTGATTACTTTGTATACCACATTGCATAGACTTATTGGTCTAAATTGGCTTATCAACTCCGGATTGTCCACCTTGGGGATCAAACAGATAAGTGTTTGGTTAATACTAGCAACTCTCTTAAGGTCCTCAAAAATTCCCCTGATCAGATTCAGGATAGATTTCCCCACACTCTCCCATTGGGACTGCAAGAAGATGGCATGAAGCCCATCAGCACCAGGAGCCTTGTAAGGATGCATCTTGAAGACTATGCTCTTTATCTCCTCAGATTCTGGGCAGCAAGCAATTTTCTTCCAACAACTATTAACAATTACTGGAAATCTATTCCCAATACACAGCTTCGGGAGACTTTGGTTTTCCTCAACATATAGCTTTTTGAAAAAATTAACAGCCAAGGATTTAAGTTCTCCTGGTTCATCCACCCAAGTTCCATCATCCTTCCTGAGGGATGTGACTTTGTTCCTTCTATTCCTGGCCACAGTGGCTGAATGGAAAAACTTTGAATTTATGTCTCCAAAGGCCAGCCAATTGCACCTGGACCTTTGGAACCAGGTTAGTTCTTCTTGGATGTATATAGCATTCAAATCTTGCCACAGCTTTCTATGAAGTCTTTCCATAGCTTCATTTGGCCCTCTATCTAATTGGATATCCACCCTCCTGAGCCTTCTTTGTAGCTGGAATTTTCTCTTCTGTTACTCTTTGAACCTTCTATGATGCCAGTTAGTAGCTTCAATTTGGAATTTGTTCTTTGCTGGAACCCAGTCTATCTCTTTGCCCCAACAATTATCCACTACCTCCTTGAAGCCTGTATTAGTCAACCAAGCAGCTATAAATCTGAATGGTTTGAGACCATAATTGTTTCTCCCACCAACTCCATCTTTCAAGACAATAAGTCTATGGTCCGAACCATAGAATTGGAGATGGACCATATAGTGCATGTAGTGATAGTAGTGCCTATGTCAGCTAGTCATAGGAAAGATAAGACTCTGTTGATATTTAAGGTGTGTGTAAAAATTGTTCAATGGTGAGAAGCAGAGAAAAATGTCTGAAAGATTCCTGTTCCAACCTCCCTCGTCGTCATCACTATACAAATAAAATGAAAAGTGACGCATGCTTCCGATGCCACCAAAAAGGGCATTGGTCTTTGTAGTTGGGCTTTAACCACTTAATTAAAAGTCAATTCCAGCCCAATAAAGAAAGCTAGGGTTCCCAATTCAAGATGTTCAGCAGCCTTTTGAACGTGCGTGAATAGCATAAACCCTAAACCCTAACTTTGATCAATTCTAGGACTATTTAGCCCCTTGTAAAAAAATTAGTGTTGAGGTCCCTAACTTTGAATGTGTGTAAGTAGCATTTTGACGATAAGAGAGTATGGAAATCAGTCACGAGTAAAGAAAAGAGGGAGATAACCATTTTAGAAAATACGCTAATTTAAGATAAGAAAGAGAAATCTTTGATTATTTTTCGATATCTCCTTCATCTACCATCTGATCGTACTGAGATTTTTTTGACATATTCTTGACTCATTATTATTCATATCTAACGGTGGCTTTTATATATATTTTTACATTTGTATGATTAGGATTCTTCATATTTAATGTGAATACGAGGAATCATAACCATACATAGATGAAAATAAATATAACCATAATTTAAAAATCTGTATTTTTTATTTATATTTTAAATTTTGATTAATTAATTATGCATAAAATTAGAATATTATTATAATTTCTTCTAATTTATTATTTTAAGTTGCTATATTATTTGCAAATGATTACGAAAATCTTTTTTAACAGTTTAAAATTTGTATTATAATTTATTTTTTAAATTCCCTCACAATTGCGATGGAGAATTATCAAAATATAAAATCTAGATATGTAGAGGACTGGACAATAGGAAGATCTTTGAAATTTTTAAGCGGGAACTATGAAATTTTGGTGCCAAAACTGATTGGCATAAATTGGGCTTGGCGCTATTTTTTGAGAACACATGATTTGAGAACTACATATTATGAACGAAATTAATAATGATACTCACGCTGAATGATTGGCATAAATTCTGCTCTCGCTTCCTTTACGCCCTTAACTCCCTCTATTTTCCTCCAAACCGTTTTTCCTTCTCTCTCTAAACCCCACTTTCTCTCTCTAAAACCCTAGTCCTCTCCGATCCTTCCCCATTTCCCTCCAACTCCCACCGCAATTCGGATTTTCCGCTCCATGTCCGGTGACGCTAGAGCTTTTAACTGCGGCGCATCGCCTCCACGGGAGGCTGCCGGCGCAACGAACCGCCCGCCTGGAAGCGCCACCTGGCCCTTCGCGACGACGAAGCCGCCATTTGCTCCGCTGGATGATTACCACAGCTTCTCCGCTTCCGACTCCAGGGGAGTCGCTGATCAGGAGGATGAGGCTGTCGTTGTTAGATCTCTGGTGAGTCCTTCCTTTTTGCTTCTCTGCTCTTAATTTCATTTTCTGTTTGTGTTTGGTAAAATTGTGGCTTCGAAATCTGAAATTATTTTTTTTTTGTATGCGTTTGTGTTTGTTTCGTTGTATCTTTTTCCTTTTTGCCTGAATCTGTTGGATTCACTGTCATATGCTTTTGATTTTGGTTTAGTGGAGCGAAATTTTGATTCTATTATTTATTTATTAATTTCATGCGGAAAAGTCAAGTTTATTCCCCAATCCTGGATCCAAAGACCAAATTCAATTCGTTAATCAGTGTTGGGGCCTTTTTCTGAAGCTTTGGTCTTTGTCTATGTGGTAGTTCTATGCAATAATTAGGATAATACAGGGGGATTTTAACATCTGCAGTTTGGCTTGCTTTTTTTTTTTTTGAGATAATAGGTTATCGATAGAAGGTCCTTGCTTGTTGTCGATCATGTTTCTAGGTAGCTTGTGCTTATTTGCATAACCGTTAGATATTGGGCGGATTAAATGGTTGTAGATTGATTTGTTCACTTTCAGTGTTGCATACAGGTTTATTCTTGTTAATTGACTTTTTTTGCTGTGTGTAGTTCTTTGTCTTAGCCGCTTGGTAATGCTTGCTCGTGGACTTTTTCTTTTGTGGCTTAATGTGATTGAGATTGAATTGGTATGTTAATATACTTGTTAGCCTTTTTTGTTTTTTTGGTAAACAATATACTTGTTAGCCTTGGTTGCAGGTAGCTCCTTTCCTTATAGCTTTGAATAGTATAAGAAGGAAATTAAAACATTAATATTTCTTTTTATTATTAAAATTAAAAAGAAGGTAACCTTATTCTCCTAACATAGCCTAAAGGACCCCACCATCAATATATCAAATTCAAAAAAAAAAGAGAGTGGTAAATACATAGTGCAAGTATGCTGGCTTAGCTAATTTGAATGTTTATTTTAATAATTTTAAAATCTATACTTTTATTTATATTTTAAATTCTGATTAATCAATTGTGCATAAATATTATGTTTCTAAAATATGAATATTATATAATTTATTAACTTTCAAACAAGTCATAAATACTTTACGCATTTATAAGTTGTAATTTGAAGTCGCATAAATAATTTTATTATGTTTCTAAAATATAAATATTATATATCTAACATACCCGTTTTACAAATAATTTTACTAGTGAGTTTTTCGAATGTGATAAAAGCGCAATATTGTCGTCAGTGCTATCAAAGTAGAACATCAGAAGATAAAATTTGTGAAAACAGAACTCAGTAGCTATTGACTTCCCTTTTTCTCTTTCCTTCTTCCAAGTAGTGACCGAGTTACTCATGCTTTGAATTATTGAATATTTTCCTACCCTTTCTCTTAATTGATCGTATCTAGTAGTATTATTGGAAGGAAATACTATAAAGTATGACAGATTATATGCCTATGAAGGTCTATCAATATGGAAGAAATAATCCCATCTGCTTTAAATTACTCTAAATTTGTCTTATGCCTCTTTAATTTTCATTGTAACAATGAAGGTCTATGTTGAAAATAAAAACTCAGACTAAGACTTACCTGCAACATCTTTCTTTGCCTTCCTCCTCCTCAAATATATGCAGATAAAAAAGAGCAAAACAAAAACAGCAACAACAGTGGGCACAACTATGGCTATGGCAGTTCGTGACATGTTGCCCTTTCCTGCAAAAACCAGAATCCTCAGCTCGGCGAGAGAATTCAAGGATTAAGGATAATAAAATATTAATAAGTCTAACAACTAATCACAGAGAAAAAGGGCAATATAAGCACCACTCACAGCACTTAAAGCAATTAAGCAAAATGTGACAAGTACCTTGTGAGGAAGTGTTATTGGTGGTGGTACATCTGTGTCTGATATTGGCGTAGGTTCGTAGAAGCCGTAGGTTTCATATCTAACATTACAACTGGGCCTAACGACTCTACCACCTAGCTGGCCATCGAACAAAGTTGGGAATTCTGAGATAACCCCATCCAAGCAGTCATTACAGTATTGCCGTGACAAATAAGGCGTGCACTGCACAACACCGTATAAATATTTGGTTTGAAAAGTTGCATCTGCCGCAGCATACTTACGACGAGAATCACCTGATGCAGCTCTGTCTTTTAAATTCCTCATCAAGTTACCGAGCACTTGATTCAACTTATCCACCTCTGTTGCATTGTATCCGTTCCACAAATTAAAAAAAGGTGAAGTTTCCATGATGCCGAATATTGAGCGGTTCGAGTACCGCAACATGCATATGTCAAACCACACAATTGCCTCTTTCTGATTCGGACAAAGCTGTGAGGTTGACTCTGGAATTGTCGAGGCAACTGCGGCACTCGTCTGGCCTAACATCTCCTCTACACAGACCAATGGCGTTCACTTTGTTAGTGTTTTGACCATATGAGAAATTGTAGAATCCGTAGTCAATTTCTGTGTTGGAAGTGAGAGTGGACAAAAGTTTGTTGAGATTTGTGTGGTAGGTGCTATTGGGTGTGTAGTTCCCTTTGATGTTATCACAGGATTGGGATAGAAAAATTGGGCTGGAACTGGCTTGAGATATTATTATTTGAAAGAGATAACAAAGAAAGGAAAGCAGCTTAGAAGAAACAACAGCCATTATAATTGCCCTTTGGGAATGAGTGGTAACAAAACCGAAGATTGAAGCTTCAACATGACGAAGCTTTAACAATGACGTGATTGGGAAGAAGGCCACCCAGTTTGCTATAACGTTATTGGTGAGTTTGAGAACAAGGAGTTGTAAAACAATACGTTTTCTGACGAGAAGCGCAACAAGTTCATCAGATAATAAGTATATTGTTATTTTATTTAATCATAGTTAGTTGTAACTGTGGTTAGTTAGTTGTAATTGGTTATGGAACTTTACTCTTTTTTCCCTTTTTCATGTTTGTATTGTACTGCATCACTGATGTAAGGTTTCTTCTATTGATTCAGTAAAGTGATTTCCTTACTGTAAGATGATATCAGCTGAAAATTAGAATTCCGCTCATTCGTTCTTCTTCTTCTTCTGGCTGTTCTTGCTGTTTGTCAGCTTCATACCCATGGCGTCTGAAGCGAATCCTTCAACCATCGAACCAAATCCTTCAACCACTGGAGTGAATGCTTCAGTGCATGTACGTTCTCAGGTCGAAGATCCTGCTAGCCCTTTCTTTCTTCACCATTCTGACAATCCTGGGCTTGTCGTAGTCTCTCAGCCCTTGACTGGTGACAACTATAATTTATGGAGCAGAGCCATGAAAATTGCCCTATCGGTTAAAAACAAATTGGGGTTTATTAACGGTTCTATTGCCAAACCTAGTGATGCTGATCTTATTAACGACATTGTTATTTCCTGGATTTTGAATTCAGTCTCCAAAGAAATTTCCAGTAGCATCACCTACTCTGGTTCGACTCGTGATATTTGGGTGGACAAAGCAATAGACCAAGAATCTTTCAGTTGCGCCGTGATCTCACAACCCTCACTCAAATCAAGCTTCCGTGAGTGTGTATTTCACAAAACTTAAATGGGAAGAGTTGAGCAATTTTTGCCCCTCTTGTGATTACGGTCAACACACCTGAAATTCTGAATCATTAACCTTTAAGAGGAAGGTTATACTACTAAATCTTAACTGTTGATTTTTGCTAATTTAATGGTTATAGTTTATTGTAAATTAATAAGTATGATCTCATAAATTATAACTGTTAGATTAACAAAATCAACGATTAAGATTTGATAGTAATATGTAGTAAGAAAGATAGGTAGTAAGTATAACCTTTTCGTCTTTATACATGGATTTTGGGCGAAATTATTGAGTGCCTTAATTGCTTGTTCATATTTGTCATTGAATATTTATAATTGATAGCTTTTAAACGGTTTTTTTATTTATGTGAATAGATAATAACGGTTTAAGGATTGCGAGAGGAAATAGAAAATATAGTGAAAAGGAGAGAGGGAAAACGGTAAAAATTCAAAACTTTGATTCCCTCGCGGGCCAAAATGAATTTTCCAATGACAAAACCTTGTTAGGCGATACCATTGGCCTTCAAATGATTGGCAAACAAAAGCAGCCTTCGTCTGAATCTCCCCTTCAAATGCTTGGCGAAACTGATAAAAGCTTTGTAATTTTATCCTCGATCATCACTGCTCGCACGCCAAACCTTCATTTTCGTTCTTCATGTTTTTTCTCTCTCTTTCTATTCTTTCATTAATTCATTTTTCCCCAGATTTGTAAAATCTCTCGACTAGATCACGTCGATACGCATTTGACTTTGTTTTTATCGCTCTCTTGCTTTGGTCGTCGAAAGGTACAAAGTTTGTTTTAAAATTCAATATTTATTTCTCTCATCTATTTTGGTTTCCAGAATCGAAGGTGGAAACTCAATGCCTGGTTCTGTTTTCTAACCCCGAGCGGTGTTTTTTAACGTTTCAGAATCACTAAGGAAAATCTATCATATTTTTCATGTTTTTTGATGTTATTACTTTACCTTCTATTAACTTTTTTTTTGATTTTTGATTTTTTTAATGTTGCCGTAATGAAGTTTCAAATGCAAAAGTTTACAACGAAGATAGTCGATATGATGAAAGCAGAAAGGTTATACGAGTCTCAGGGTGGTCCAATAATTCTATCTCAGGTAGATTAATCCAGTAACTTGCTTTATATTTTCTAGTAATTTTTTATTTTTTTTGAAGAGTTATAACCTTGTTACTCATTGAGTAAAAATGGAGATATATACTGAAAGTATTTCCTTATTTCACCATTGTTTTTACTCAGATTGAAAATGAATATGGACCTATGCAGTATGAAATTGGTGCTCCTGGTAAGGCCTATTGTGATTCCAATATAAATTTTTTGCAGATTAACACTTGCAACGGCTTCTATTGTGATTATTTCTCTCCAAATAAGGCTTACAAACCAAAGATGTGGACAGAAGCTTGGACTGGCTGGTATAATAATATGTCGCTTGTATTTGGTGCCTTGTTACTTCTTAGGTTTTCCTAGGAATGAGAAATATACAAGCTAAGAGTATTGCCTGAATGTTCATTACATGCGTTTGTTTTGTGAACTTAATAGGTTTACTGAGTTCGGAGGTCCAGTTCCTCATAGACCTGCTGAGGACATGGCATTTTCAGTTGCACGGTTTATACAGAAAGGGGGATCATTTGTCAACTATTACATGGTAACTTCAGTGTTTGTTGATTTCAATGTGTCGATCCTTCCTTTCTTCATTCAATCAACTAAATCCCCTTTGTTTTGTTCATTCCAGTATCATGGGGGAACTAATTTTGGTCGAACTGCTGGTGGTCCATTCATTGCTACCGGCTACAATTATGATACACCTATTGATGAATATGGTATGCACAAAGGATTCCAATACTATGGTCCATATCTACTGATATTATGATAATTTTTTTGTTTTTAAATTTGGCATATCTATGGAGTAAAGCTCAAGTTTATGATAAGATTTGTGCAACCTTACCGACTGCTGTGAAACATAGCACAATTGAACATTGCTTCTGATACTTTTACATTAACCAAAAATCCTAGTCAATATTGCATCACTTTTTCTTTGTTATTGGCTGCAAATTCTATTATGATATTATGTCTTGCCCCACGTTTGTTGTGTGACAATGAAAAATTTGTACATGTAGTACTGATGATCTAAAGATGACTGCTGCCGATTAACTCAGATTGTAAAATATTGCGAATCTGTATATCCTGTGTCTATTGTTGGGGGGTCCTTGCCTTGACTATGCTTCATTCATTTTCTTATTATATGTAAAGAACTGAATACTGGTCAATCCTTGGTTATAACATTATTGATAAATTTTATTTATTTTGGTTTCTTCATGTTGAATACTTACCTTGCTCCTTTACTTGACAGTGTTGTCATCAATCCCAATGAAGGATTCTTGAGGAATGGAAAGAATCCTGTTCTTACAGTATTATCTGCTGGGCATGCTATGCATGTTTTTATCAATAGTCAGCTGTCAGGTTAGTAGCATACTTTTTATTATGTTTTATTACTTTTTATTATGTGTCCAAAATTAGGAAGTTATATAATCTTCAGCCTTAATATCATGAATTTAATGTTGTGATGTAATATTACAAATGTTATATAATTTTCCATTTTATGTTTTATTATTTTTTATTATGTGTCCAAAATTAGGAAGTTATATAATCTTCAGCCTTAATATCATGAATTTAATGTTGTGATGTAACATTACAAATGTAAAAATTCTTATATAATGCCAACTAATTTGGTTACATATATATTTAACATATATCTTTTTAAAGGATATGTTTATATCCTTTTGAATTTTCAACGATTATAATTTATTGGATTAAAATTATTAATTAATTAATAATAAAATCAGTTAATAAAAGGAAAAATCCAATTTTTAATTTGGTTGAAACATTATCAAACTCATATAAAGATGCCTCCTCCCTTTATAAAAGTTCGAATTCTTATATTAAGGCACGTTTGTTTGAGATTTTTTAAATAAAAATGTACTCTTAACTAAAAAATGTGTTTAAAAATTTATTGATAATTAGACATGGGATTAACGACTTTCTCTTGTTATAAGAGATAATTTATTTCCTTCAACTCAAAATGACGTCATTTTGGGATTTAAGATTCAAAATGAAAGATATTTTAGTAAAATTTATAATACAAGAGTAAAGTAAAAT